ATCATTTTATATCTCGGCTGGATCTACTTTGATGTGATATCAAAATTATTTTTTTGCTGTGTGGATCATTTTTTGTTTTAGGCCCCATTTCCTACCAAAAGTTTTCTTACTTATCCAAATAACATTTATTGCCTTATTTACAACCTGCTCTACATGTGAATTCCAGCTAAATTTACTGTCAAGAATGCCTCCCAGATAATTGACTGTCCGTGAAAGTTCTAAAGAAGTTTTATTTTTTTCAATTTTAAGTTATTTATAGAAAATTTTCTTTTCCGTGTGGTACCGTTCACAGTTCAATAGTGGTCTTAAAAGGGTTTATTTTAAATCCTTCTTTAGCGCACCACGATGAAACATAATTTAAAGCTGTTTGCGTTCTATTTGAATTGACATTGTCAAATTTTCCTCGTATTATTATGACTTTGACATCAGGAAAGCCAATTATCTCGAAGCCCTTTGCTTCTAAGTTTTTGTGAAGACTGACCATAAAATAGGTGACAGCACACCTCCTTGAGCACACCCTTTTACAGCTCTAACTATTATGGATGAGCTTCCAAGATTTGCTGAAATTTCTCTTTGGGAAAGAATCTCAGTAATCCACTTAACGATGCTTTTGTCGAATCCACGCTTCAACATAGTGTTTTTCGTGGAGTTATAAGATGCATTATCAAATGCTCCTTCAATATCAATGAACGCTATTAGTAACATTTCTTTTGATTCAGAAGATTTTTCTAGGTTTGTAACAAGCGTGTGAAGAGCTGTTACTGTTGATTTACCAGCTTGATATACAAACTGATATTTACTCAAAGGAATTGTAATCAAGTAGGGGTAAGTTGGGCATAGTGAACAGGTGGGACATAGTGAGCATCCCGTGCACCAGCTTGGACTTCCAGCCGTTCGGAACAAATTGGTTGGCTGTAGGATCAATATCATAATGATATTGATCCTACTACCAGTTGATTTGTTTCATGCAGCAGGAGATCCAGAGCCAAAGTGCGGGATGCTCACTATGCCTCGCCTGTTTACTATGCCCCTCCTTCCCCTACGTTAATTTTCATTTGGATGTCAACACGGGCAACCCTTCCAACTTTACAGTAGCGGGCAAACAGTGGAGAAGGTCGTAAGTTTCCAATATCTTGGCAGTCAAATAGCGTCGGACGGTGGGACCAAGAGCGACATAGGTGCACGAATCAAGAAGGCTAGGGCTGTCTTTGCGAGTTTATGAAACGTATGACGAACGTGAAATCTGTGTTGTTAAAGGCATGCGAGACGTGGTGTGTATCAGCGGAGAACACTCAGAAGATGCAGGTCTTCATCAACCGATGCCTGCGGTATATAATTCGTGCCTGAGATCACAACTGGATCTCTAATGCCGAGCTCCATCCTCGATGTCATCTGAAGCCGATAGAAACAGAAATTCGAGAGCGAAAGTAGAGGTGGGTCGGCCACACACTTCGACGGGCGGACACGAAATCTGAAAGCAAGCGCTGGATTGGAATCCACCAGGACATCGCAGCAGAGGCAGACCCAGAGGCTCATGGTGGCGGAGCCTCAACAACGAAATAAAGTAAGTCGATAGGAATCCGACCTGGGCCCAGGTCAAGGCAAAAGCGAGCAGCCGCCCAGGATGGAAGTCTTTCGCGTTGGCCCTTTGCACCTCCGGTGGTGTAAGTAAGTATCGTTGGTTGGTACCCTTGGTTCGCATCAAGGTGTTGTGTGTGCCCGCCACCAGCACGCCTAGTGAATGAGTTTTTAACATCTGCACGACGCATCCACCCTAAAATGTGGATAAAACAATCTTCATTCATGAAAATAACAGCATTTGCAAAAATAGAGTTTTGCAGTAAGCAGTGGCTGTTACGTTATGCAACAGATTGCTTTTATATACTATCCACCCCTACATACGTACTTTTCATATACTTAATAAAAGGGTTGTAACACTTTGCCAAATGACTCCACCCCTGTAATTTTAACAAGCACTTGACATACTTTTCTTAACAAATTCCGCATGCACGGCAAATGCTCCAAATTGAGTAAGAGTTACTCGTATTTGAGTTCGGGTTACTCAAATTCGCGAAAACGTAGGTCACTCATAGAATGAGTAAATTTTTCGACGCTTTTCCGAGGAAAACTTCTCGAATACGAGGCAAACTGATTGTGGTTTTTGTCTGTATACTAGTACTCTTCTAACCTGTGTATAATTTTCTTAAATTTTCCCCATAGTCGAGAAGTTTTCCCGGGAAAGTGTCGAAAAATTTAATCATACTATGAGTGACCTACGTTTTAGCGATTTTGAGTAATCTTAACTCAAATGTGGGTAGAATTTTTTGTCCATGTGAGATTGGTTTAGAAAGTATTTTTTTCTAAATAATTAAAAATAAACTCACGCCGACCAACGCCGCCACGCCGCCGCCGTCGATAGCAAACGGCGTGACGCCGCCACGCCGCCGCCGCCGAAAATATTTTGATCGGCGCACAGGTGTAGTATGCTCCTGAGAGACCTCTTCGTCAACGCGAATTTCTGTTTTTGGAGCCACGAGGCAGAAATTATACGCAGAATGAGCCAATTCGTGCAATCAGCCGACAATTTAACTACTTTTATTGCGAATTTGACTTTAACGTATCAGCAAATGTGTTTCGTCACCGGTTACTTGACCGTTTTCGTTTCGTTGACCATAACTATTTAGATTAAGTTTTATTCATTAAGACATTAATTGTCAGTTGAATTATTAAATAAACAAATAAACAAATAGTAACCTGCTTGTTTGAAGATATCAACAAATGCAAACTTTGTTCATTCGTTATCAAACTCTCGTCCTGTACAGACTTCCTTAATTCAAACCACTATTATAAATTCATGCTGAAGTTACTTACCAGTTATTATTTTCTTTTCAAATAGGTTACGTTTGATTTGTTGATATGTAAATCGGCACCAGTGCAGCAGAATAGCATACACGTGTTCCTCTAATTCGGTGCCCTTCCTGAAATTGAATTGCACGAAAATTACCGTCCAATGCGTTGTTTTCCTATATTTATTGCACACCGACTCTGTCGAAGCCGCAGCAAGGCAGCTCACGCAGTAGGCGCAATGTAAACATGTCGCCGGCCGAACAACAAAGATAGACCGCAGCGGTGGCTGTCATAAATAATCGCAGTTATTGGTTGTCTTTTCTCATTGAGCTTCTTTGATTCTTTGTTCGGCATTTATGTGATTTACGGGTCCTTCATTGACAGGCACCCTGATGCGAAGGAACACCGCCAGGTGGTAGATGAAAAACTCATAAATAACAAACTGAGCTCCAGCGCGGGGAGCGAATCCGGAATATTAGGACGAAGCATTGTTTTTGTTTTTTACCTTTTTTCTTGTCAACATGGTTTCGAAGCGATGAAATGTTTAAACAATTTTGAAAAACTTCACCCCCTCCCACCCCTGCTCCGAAACTCTGTGCCACCCTCTCTTGGGCTATGCAAATAGGAATTGCCTGTTTCAATGTTCGTAAAAGCTTCCTGCTAGATGAATGGAAGCCGAATTTTACACGGCTACGGTCTTGGTTCACGGTTTTTCCATGTTTGGACAAAGTTTTCTCATTAAAAGATATTAAAGAAGAGCTTGATTTTGTTTCAACGTTTGTTGAAGTCTACGGCAAAAGAAAAGTTGGCAAAGGTCTTGACCGGATTGATGGTGCAATCTTTTGATGGGCATCGTGAGTGTTTGCTTTTTATTAGGGTTGTTTACCGGTAAAATTCACAACTGTTCATATTGTAGTTGTTAAATCAAATTTTAAAAATCCTGAATCATCCAACGATGGTTGAAAGCGAATGGGAGTGACAGACAAAGTAAGCCATGCCAATTCGAACTGTTTAGCTTGGAGTTCAGGTGCGGCTCCGGTGTCCGGAATCCGGTAATCGGATCGATGATGAAGCTCGTGAGCTCCCGAATTCGAAGCTAAGCAAATCCAATTGACATAGTTTACTTTGTCGTTCAACAGATGAAAATAGTGTATTGTGCAATGAAAAGCATTCATAGCGTTATGTCTGTTTATCGGTGATACATACCCGAGCAAAGCTGGAGATCAAATTGAAATCAAAATTTGCTGTTATGATGTAACTTATTTTGAATACTCCAGTTGCTCTCAGTTTGGTTGACTTAACGGTTAACACAGCAAAAATGAGAGCAAAATTTTACACTGTTGAAGCAAACGGAAAACTAATCCTGCTTTCAATCATTAGTTCAACGACAGATGAACTTCAATTAAATTTTAAACAAGACGTTAACAGCAGAACTTCAAGTTAAGTTGCTTTCATTTAAAAAGTATTGACTGCATAATGAAAGCACAATATGATATCAGACTTCTGTTGCGACATTTGAAATCAAAATGAGTTTTCATTATGATAGGAACTGCACACTTTAATATCGATTTGCTTTCATTTTGTTAACCTACATTGCTCGGGTAGCCAGTCTTCGATAGCAACATTTCATAAATTTCTTCAAGCATATACGAATGTATAGTTTGTTCCAAGCTTACTACAAGTCCCAACTACTTGAGGATATCGAGGGGGTTACTTATCTAAATCTCAGTTCTAGATGCTCAACAAATCTCACACTAGCAAATCAATCTTCGCAAAATCTTCTTTCTATTCTCGAATCTACTTGCATCGCGCATCATATTTTTGCAGGAAGTCTTCAGAATCGTCATCAATCTTCTTTCTATCTACTCAGCGTACGCGCAGCTAACCACAGCCAAACACTTTTTTCCCTACATCGTAGATAGAGTCGCCCCCCTCGGAGGATGTAATGTTATCAAGAGCCACCGAAAAAGCACTTACTTTTATTATTTCTTATCATAACTTGTGCATACGCAAAAGAAAATGACTACGCAAATCCAATCTAATCCAGTTGATAGCAGGTCTCGTAATCAGTGTGAACAAAAACAATACTTCAGACATCGTGTTCGATCGGTTGTGGTTGGAATGAACATATCTTTAGTCCAGTAATCATCGCGATGGGTGTACGCCATCTGGATACCTTTGTGCGTCAAAATGTCCCCGATGGGTTCTTTTCGGTCAACATCGAAGACGAAATCCGGTGAGTACAACTAAATAAGATGGGAATCTAACTGATAAAAGCTTTTCCCTTCCGCACAAAACCGGAAACAGGAAGTACTTCAATACGGCTGCGATTGCGAATCCACCTGCACCAGTCATCGTCGTTGATCTGATGACTCTGAACCAACCTCTTAGCAATTACGACAAAAGAGGACTTCTGTTCGGTGGACGATTCAACTTGGCTTACTCTGTAATCGAGACCTTTTTCGCCAAACTAACCGACCTAGGTGCACAGTTGGTATTTTTTCACGATGGTCCTTTACAGGACTCGAAAACTGACACTTGGTGTAAACGCCAGGATGACAGGTATGATAATACACTGACGCTTTTCAACGGCATTGAGCGAGGGGCCGATCTGGATACATTGCTTAGGGAATACCCTACTCCAGTTAATTTCCGATATCCTCTGAAGTTCGTAGCGAAGAAGTATGGACAGTATAGAATGGTGATCGCTCGGGAATGTGACCAGGAATTGGCTGCATTTGCAAAGCAAATCCACGCACTGGCAATATTGTCGGATGACTCGGATTTTCTGATCTACGAGGGTTCCTGGAAGTATTGGTCTTCCCGGGAGCTGGATCTAGCAACACTGACTACCATGGAGTACAATCGATCGGCTTTGGTGAACCATCTGAAGCTTAGCTACATCCAAATGCCACTACTTGCCACTCTCAGCGGTAATGACATTATGCCGTACCAGGTTGTCCGTAGACTTCATTCCCAGCTTGGCTCAATTCGGGACAAATTTCCAAACATGGCTTGCTTCATACGACGACATTACAGTGCACCGCTAACTAAGGTTAAAATTGTCAGCATTCTTAGAGAAATTACAGGGCATCATAAGATCCAAAAAGATAACCTACAGCGCTTCCAGCAAAGTTTGGATACTTACCGAGTAGTAAGTGTAGCTCAGATTGCCAACACCACCAATCCCTTACCATAATTTACTTTCAGAACATCAGCGCGCTGAACGTCAACCCAAACGGTGATCCAGTTCTGGCTACTCTGATTAAGGAGGATTCACCCTTCACGTATTTGATCTGGCAGGGAAAATGCCTCGACGTGGCAATCGGTTTAGTGGACATGCGTCCGACCTATTTCGGAAGTCATTTCGCAAAGTTGCATTTTTCGCTGATCCTTCGTATGGCCGGAATCATTCTATTCCACCGGAAACCACTGCGGCCAACCCACTGCGCAATCATAATCAAGCTCAACCATCACAATCCTCACCGAAAGCAAAGTTATACCGTTCAATACCCGCAAGACATCGAACCACCGACTTTGCCCGAACTACAGGACAAGGATCCCGCTATCCACGAAGGTCACCGGGACGTGAAGCAGCAACTGCTTGCTTGGATCGCATCCGACACACTTCAACCAGATTGGCTGCGCTCGGTCCCCCGGGTTCTTCAGTTGACCGTCTACACGCTGTACTACCTAGTGGAGCAGCAGGCTCTTGAGCTGTTCGAAGCCGATCTACTTCTACAGGTGGCCTATGACGTGGCGTACGAAACGTACGACTTTCACGGGATTGACTATCCGAGGACACTGAAGCTTCGCCCCTTCCAATTGATTTTCATCTACCAGAAGGTGTACTCATACACTGCCAAGGCATTTCGGTTGGTTGGGCTGGATGGCGATGACTTCCGGGAGGATCCTCCGCTCGATGGGGTTTTGTTTCACAAACGATACGAAGATTTTCGTGACGGGCGTTGCGATTTGCGACAAATTAGGACGTGGAGAATCTACGAAGGCGCAGGCAGGGAAGGCCGTCATTAGATGGATCACGATGATGGTGGGAGATTTTGATTTGCTTAACCCTTAAACTATTGGATTATTTGGTACGGCTCAACTGTCTTGATTAAGAAACACTTTTTTATCTAGTTCGTTTATTTGGTGTAAGGCTCAATCGCGTTAGCTTTACGGAGCCGCTAATTCATTGTTCATTGTTTGTAGCTGTAGGTTGGTAGCAAAATTCAATAATTTCTATGTCTAGTACACACAAAAAATTAAAATTGTATGAATTTTAAACCAAAATATGAAGTTTTGGCTACGAAAATATCTAACATAAAATTTATCATTTCAACTTGAAAGTTTTCACTTTCAACTTATTAATTCAAAAGTGTATTTTTTTAAGTAAAGTTGTAGAACTGTCAAAAATACATCTTTAGAGGACGATTTTACTGGCAGCACTGAACGCTCATAGGTCGCCTTTTCCGAAAATGAAAACTTGGTCAGCAATCTGCTGCAGAAAAATTTGGACAACAAAGTACAAAAGTAAGTTAGAATCTGTGAATCGATGAAAACATTGTTTTATTTATTGGGAAAATAATTGAATTCATATTTATATTGTTTTTCAACAACCACATAGACTCCCATCGATGGTCTTAATTGTTTTCGTTTTCCCGAAATAGATGAAGCAGAACAGTGCTGCAATCTGCACGATCTCCTGTGGTTGGACTTCAAACAGAAGGTCTCTATCGGCCAAGAATACCGTTTCGTTAGAGCATCGATTCAAAATCGAATTTCCCCAGTTGAGGACCGGATTCACACGGATCACGTACAACCCAATTCTGGAGTCGTTCTGGGAATTAATCGTGAAGGTTCCGTTCGCCAAAGTGTCACTTCCTTCATATCATAAATTCATTTATAAATACGGCATAGAAATAAAATTGAACATTTCAAATGGTCCTATCTGCTTTGATCGATTCTCTTCATCGACTTCCTCTTTTCATAACCACTGCTATGCAAACAGATTTCGCGCTGATTCTACCACATAGGGGAAATGGCTCTAATGTTGGCCTATGGATCTAAGATTGGGCCCATCGCTAAAAATCTGCTATTTAACAATTGTATCTAAATGAACGCGTCATTGGGACGGTACTGATGGATATTTTTGGTTGCTATTGAAAATTTAGTCGATTGCTGAATTTATGTATGGGCCCAAATTAGGGACCCTTAGGCCGACATTACATACATTTCCACTAGGTTGATAAAGGAGGTTCCGAGGGGCACGCACTAGTCTTCTAATACTACACAGCCTGCTGACCAAATATTGCATTAACTACTTTGAATACACTCCTAATTTCCATAAACACTTTAATTACTCACAAAAAGTTTTATTTAAATTATTTTCAATATAGTTAAAATAACTGCCATTACATAAATAAACGTTAATTATTCGTTAATTACTGTCAACACCGGTTAAAGTATTTAAATTCAAATTATTACTGTCTTCAAAGTATTTAAATTACTACGATGTGTTTTAAATATCATGCACTTATATCTGGAAGGGCGTGCCCCTCGGGAGGTTCTTATCTAGCGCAGGGAATCAAAATCAACGATTCAGATAAAGATAATGGCATTCTCATTTTGGTTACACTCATGATTAGTACAAATCCATAAATCACAATGGACAGTTCTGGAAACGATAACGCGATTATCATATGTGTAACAGATCATGATCATATGAAATAGCGATAATCTCAGATCATCATCATCAGCTCTCGTCACTGAAAATTCCCCATTTAAAACAAGGCTAATCAAATACCCTATAATATGTGAATTTTCGGAATGAGGATGACGTATAGAGATCGAAAATCGATGTTTGCCGCCATTATGAAATCCAAGATGGTGGCCATCGATTTAAGAAAAACTGTCGAAAATTGATGTCCGCCACCATTTGGAAATGCAAGATTACCCTGCGCTTCACTTTTATGTTACTTATGACGGGCGCTAGAATATATGGATCATATTTCCAACATAGAATATTTCGTGATCCTGACCATATAGAAAGTTACTGTCTTGAGCAAAGTTGTTCAGGTGACCAAGTCCTTTCGGATGGTGGCTATATTAGTTCAGAACTCTCTCACTACGCAGCGCTAGTGTGCATGTGCAATTCCTATATAAACTGTATCTCGAGAGCCTGGCCATATAGAAAGTTGCTGTTTTCAGCAAAGTTGTGCAGGTGATCAAGTCCTTTTGGATGGTGGCCATATTAGTTCAGAACTCTCTCACTACGCAGTGCTAGTGTGCATGTGCAATTCTTATATAAACTGTATCTCTAGAGCCTGGCCATATAGAAAGTTGCTGTTTTCAGCAAAGTTGTGCAGGTGAGCAAGCCCTTTCGGATGATGTTCATATTAGTTCAGAACACGCTCACTACGCGGCGCTAGTGTGCAAGTGAATTTCCTGTATAAGCTGTATCTCGAGAACCTGGCCATATAGAAGGTTACTGTCTTGAGAAAAGTTGTTCAGGTCACTAAGTCCTTTCGGATGATGGTCATATTATTTCCGAACCCTGACACTACGCGGCGCTAGTGTACACATGAACTTTCTTAATATGTTATGACTCCAAAGCTTGTCCATATAAGATGTTGCTGTGCAATGTGAGAACAGGAACCGGAAAAAGGATGACGTGTAGAGGCCGGAAATCGATGTCAGATGCCATTTTGGAATCCAAGATGGCGGCCATCGGTTCAAGAAAAATTGTCAAATACCCTACAATATGGATATTTTTGGAAAGGGGATGACGTGTAGAGGCTGGAAATCGTTGCCAGACGTCATTTTGGAATCCAAGATGGCGACCATCGGGTCAAGAAAAACTGTCAAATACCCTACAATATGGGTATTTCCGGAGAGGGAACGACGTGTAGAGGCCGGAAATCGATGTCAGACGCCATTTTTTAATCCAAGATGGTTGCAGTTGTTGTTGTTGTCTGCTTTGATAAAATTTACACATAAATCAATTTTACGGATGTTCCGGATCTTCTCACGGACCATCTGGTGACTACTCAGAGCCATTGAACAGCTAATGTATCTAAAATTACCATTTTACTACACTTTTACCATAGTTGCAGAGTAAAATCAAAGCCTACTTTGATCAAATTTACACAGCAATAAATTTATCAGATTTTCCGGATCTTCCAGCGGGTTATGTCGTGACCACTCGGAACAATTGAACCACTAATATAACAAAAATCACCATTTTACTACAGGCCTACTTTAATCAAATTTGCGCAGCAATATATTTTACGGATGTTCCGGATCTTTCGGCGAGCCACTTGGAGCCAGTGAACAGCTAATATATAAAAAAAAATCATATTATTACTACATTATATACAGTTGCAATTAAAAATCAGGGCATACTTTGATGAAATTTACTTAGCAACCAATTTTACGGATGTTCCAGATCTATCGGTGGGTCATCTGGTGACCATTCGGAGCCAATGACCAGCTAATATTTCAGAAATCACAATTTTACTGTATTCCATATAATTGCGGAGGAAAATCAAGGCCTACTTTGATCAAATTTACACAGCAATCAATTTTACGGATGTTTCGTATCTACCAGCGGACCATCTGGTGATAACTCGGAGCCATTGAACAGCTAACATATCAAAAATCACTATTTTACAACATTTCTCTTTGTTGCAGAGAAAATCAAGGCCTACTTTGATCGAATTTATGTATCACTAAATTTTACGGATGTTTCGGATCTTCCGGCGGATCACCTGGTGACCACTTGGAGCCATTGAAACGCTTATATATCTAAAATCATTAATTTACTACATTTCATATAGTTGCAGAGAATAATCAAGGCCTACTTTGATCAAAAATACATAATAATCCAGATTAAAGTTGATCCAGGTCATCGGAAGGCCTTCCGGTGGACGCTCAGTATTAAGAACCAGGTTATAGGTTGATTTTGTTAAAATATTAATCAGCACTACCCATAGATGCCTGTTGCTGTGGATTTTCAGCACCACCTTGTTGTAGACGACTGGTACCTTTTCTCCCCCCGATGGTCTCTCGGAAACTCGGAATAAAACCGGAACCACTTGGCCAATTTTTTCCAATTTTTAGTAGACCATAATATCGAACATTTTTCTACTCACTGTGAAAATTTCAACCAATTTCATGATTAAACAAAAAAGTTATACCTATGCAAACATTGCTATTCGTATACCTGTTCGTAAAAATAAAAACTGCACAAACGCGTTAGGCCCTCCCCAGAAGTAAAGCAGGTGGTGTTCGTTTGAAACGCTAATAACTTTTCGGGGGTAACTCGGATTCACATCCGGTCTTTAGCCAAGATGTTCCCAATACTCCAAAAGTGATACATTTTGTACACGAAGAAAATCGACCCACTACAGCGCCACCTAGAGCCGCGAATGTGAAAGTGGCTCGCTCCCCCATACATTTTGTCGATTTTCCCCATACAAACTTCAAGCCGTTTGAGCGAGAGGTTCCCGTGAACCAAATGACTTCAAATTTTGGCAGGGTGATTCTGACCCCCCAAACTACCATTCCAGAGGGTAGCGTTTGGAATTCCAGACTTTGACTTTTTTTTTCATATAACGCTGAAACACTCTAGTGACCATGGAAAACATGTTGCCGCCATATTGGATCCAAAATAGCGTCTGGAATCTATATCTGGCCTCTACACGTCGTCCATTTTCGGGAATTCCCACATTGTAGTGTATTTGACAGTTTTTCTTAAACTGATGGCCACCATCTTGGATCCCAAAATGTCGTCTGGCATCTATTTCCTTCCAAAAATATCCATATTGTAGGGTATTTGACAGTTTTTCTTGAACCTACGGTTGCCATCTTCGATTCGAAAATGGCATCTGACATCGATTTCCGGTCTCTACACGTCATCTCCTATCCGAAAATACCCATGTTGTTGGGTATTTTACAGTTTTTCTTGAAACGATGGCAACCATCTTGGATTCCAAAATGGCGTCTGACATCGATTTTCGGTCCCTACACGTCGTTCCTTATCCAGAAATACCCATATTGTAGG